AAACTCAGAATTGGGTACATTGGAGGAGCATTTGTGAGTACATATTATGTTCAACCCGTCGCTGTGCGCTGTACCAGCTAGATCATCCCACGAGCTCGAAGTGCTCACGTTATTAGGGAGAGTACCATAGTCGATAGTTGCAACTTGGACACTCACTTCAAGAGGCCCTGGACCGAAGATGGTCTTAGCTTGGGCTGGATTCCACCAGAAGTCTCTGGTTTCATCACCGACACTCAGGTGGGCCCAACCTGTCGTTCCCACCAGGATATCATGCTTTACGGTGTCAGGCACGGTAGACAGATTGAGGTTCATATGCAAGCTGCCATAATGCCCAGGCCTGTTGCTGTTGAGTATGATCCCGGCAACATCTCTATGAACTCCATCGATTGTGTACCCCTTCATGTTGTAAATGCAGGAAGGCGCTAGCATTTGGGTAATGCTGCTTCCCTTCCCTGGACCAGGACCTCCATGACAACCCGGTGGATAGTCAGCAGTAATCTGGAAAGGGATATCAGATTGTCCTAGGGATGCTTCCATCACAGCAGCAAGCAAGAAGGAGCCGTAAGTGAGAGGCATCATGAATGAGATTTAACTTGAAGTTTGTTGATGGGAATCCAACGATTGTGACGCAGTCGAACGGATACACGTTCCTCTTCACGTCAACGGCACGCCCGCGGCATTATTACCACTACAGAGTTTGGGCGTACGACTGACATAGCGAAGATATGTCAATGCAGAGCATCTCAGCGGTGTTGCTCGAGAAAGGAGACAATTCCCGAGCAGTAATGAAAATTCCGTAACTCACCGTGTGCTCGGTTCATGTTTCAACACATTGTGCTGAACACAGGGATTTCATTATAAACCTTCTTGTATACGGGTGAACCGCACAACTATACTTACTGGAAAGCGAGTACAGACACCATCTGAGTAGAATCGAGGTGATAGAGCGACCACGGCTCTGATCAGGGAATCCGATTCAGGGTGGTAGTCTGCCGGTTTCACAAAGAGAAAATCTCACTC